ACGTACAGAACATGTACCTGTACGACAGTATAGAGTCACAAAACGTACAGAACATGTACCTGTACGACAGTATAGAGTCACAAAACGTACAGAACATGTACCTGTACGACAGTATAGAGTTGTACACACAACACATTGCATAAATGAACGGAGCACCATTCTTCCTCTACACCACTTCCTCTAACACATCCTGTTAAATGTTGTACAATGATGGTCAAAACAGCAATTTATTTAACTGAGGAAGAAACTATTTCTCTGAGATCATGGATTGATACATCATTGTTGTTACCTCAACACACCATAATGATTATCTATAAGATATTCACACATATTTACATTTTCTCTGCATCCTTCCATTGTAATGCATTACGAAGGCAAATGTTGTTATGAGACTATAACAACATTTGCTATTGTAACGTCATCAATTTCATTGTTGTCAACACTTGATTTGCTGTTCAAAATAACTAAATAAAGCATAACTACATCAAAATGTAAACATAGATAATGAATATTTTAGCAAATGTTTTTATTGTCCTATAACACACATTTCTATTGCTGAAAAACTTGCATAAAGCCAAGGGCTTTATTAAGTTTGTCATAAATAGCAATGTGTGTTATAGGACCATAACAACATTTGCTAGAACATTCATTGCTTAACCATAACAACATTTGCTGGAACATTCATTGCTTAATTAAATCTGACAGTGATTGGATTACTTCATTAAAAACAAATCTTTCACACTTAAATTAACGTCAATTTCAATAATACTTAACTGAATCGAATCTTGAGTTTTGCAATACTTCCATGCTCTGGTAGGAAAACATACCTCTAATCTAAGCTATATTTGGGTACTTACTGTTGATATGGTGTTGTAAGATTTACTCCCATTGAAAACCTGAGGAAAATATACTTTAGCCAAAACTAATAAAATATGGGACTCGGCCAATCAGAATGAGTGTGACAAACTAATAATATGGGACACAGCCTATCAAAATGAGGGTAACACACTATAATAAAGTTGGGTATCTAACTTTGATTTGAATACAATGACACATAAAAAATGAGCAACAGCTTCATTTACACTAGTGACATGTAACGTCGGTACATAATGATTGGAGTACATAGAGCTGTCATAATGTCCAGCTAACAAACAGATACATACATGTAATACACTCGGATTAAAAACACACACATCATTTGTAGCAAAAATATGGCTTCCTCTGTAAACTAACATTACATATTAGCAAAAATACTACATATTTACATCCAGTGCATGTATATATCTTTTCATAATGAATCTAAAATTGTGGGAAATGAACAAAATGTGTACAACCGATGAAATAAAAAACAGTGATGAAAGTTTTAACCAAGACCAAGACCAAGCTTTCCATCCCCGTATCAACTGAGGACACATGTACGATCAGGATATAGAACAGTCATTCAGCATTCATGTAGTAATGGATTACTAATGAAATAATTACACCTATCAGATCATTGTCAGTCAACACATCAGTGAATTGGTACAGTCACTGCTATGCATAGTTTGTTTTACATAATTTTGGACGATAAATATATATGTAGGTGCTCAACAGGAAAAATTTGTGTTAAAATTTCAACAAATTAAATAATAAATGTATTATCAACTGGCGTGATAACTAACTTATTGTTTTATGAGACCAGGCCATTATTTTAGACCATTATTGTAGACCAAAGCCAGTCCCTGTCATGTGGACAGTGGGAGATCTCAACAATAGGGTACTTTGTTTAAGAGGATGGTGTTCTAGTTCTATCAGGAAACGTCTTTGGTAATCCTAACCTTAGTACGTGTATATAGTATCCCACCTGTCTCCATTACCTACATCACAGAAACTGAAGTATATAATACTGTATATCTAAAACAAAACAAATGGTACGCTTTGTGATCAGGAAATGCTGTTATACGGTGTAAGTCTTACATCCAATATATACAAACTTCTACACAACGACCGATCATCATCACCAGACAATACCCATCATGGTAAAAACATACCTAACAACTACACACCACACCAACAGATTCCGCCTCTTGATGTGTCTTTATGTACACCTAATCGTTAATCTCTCACACAAAATGGACAGTACATACACCTGATACAGAACATACACGTTATACACATTACCGGTAAGTATTTGGGAATATCATACATATATACAATTCATCCGTATAACACATTGTAGCTCGGTCTTTAACTTATCGACAACATAAAATACATTTGGATAATTAAAAAAAACTGCATGTGAATAAATGCAACAGGATAATTTTATGATACCAACCTAGGAACTATAGTCAAAATACTGAAGAAAAGAAAGCATTCTGAACAGTATGCTTTGTGTCCTACAGGGCAGTCCTACTTCATCAGTCCTCCAGTGTCATACATGGCCACTTCACGGAGATAAATCTGGGCCATTTTTTATTTTATTTATGGGTAATCTTCCCCCCCCCCCCTTTGAATTTATCATAATAATTTGTCCAAAGATTAATTAATCAAAAATGAAAATGATACTGGTATAAATGATTTGAACAATATGTCAATTGTTTTACCAATTTTATCATTTTCACTGATAAGAATAAGTTTCATTTGTACAACAAAAACAGGAAAACTTCCCCATATGTCTTAAAACCTATTCCACATTTCAGGAAAATGGTAGTCTCCACTTCTAGCCTAGATCACCCATGGACAGTTCACACGGTCAGTCCTCTGGTGGTACACAGGACTGTCTACACTTGAGCCCTTTCCGTGTCTGTGGTGGTACTCCCTAAACGTCTGCTGTGTCAATCACCCTGGTGATGACCTCTGTTGTCTGTCCTGACATTACACTGGAGGCGTCCTCTGGTGTCTGTTTTACCATTACACTGGAGGCGCCCTCTGGTGTCTGTTTTACCATCACACTGGTGGTGCCCTCTGGAATTAATCCTGATTGTCAGCCTACAGCTGGCTCCCCCTAGTGATGCTGTACCTCCTCCCGGTTGATGAGGCTTGTCTCCACCTCTTCGTCAGAGTCAGACTCGGAGGGTGCCGCCCTGAGATCCTTAGACCATTGGTTGGTGAGGTAATCCATCTGTGTCCGCCCCTCACGCACCTCCTAGTAAAAATAAACAGAGAGTTCATTCCTTGTCCTATAAGAAATTAAGGACAGGCGATGCCCCGAGGTTTGGCTTCATGATGTATATCATCCTGTGAACAGCTAATGTCATTAAAGAATGTGCTGCCATGTGTAAAGTGTATGCATGTGTGCAGCAGCATGATGGGGTATGTTGTGTATTTGCCTCCTTTCTATAGCCCAAATCTGAGGCCGACTTTGGAGTGCTAAAGGGTATTAATATGATTTAATTAGAGTAGGGTGGGGAATGCTTTCAGATAACCATATTGTATTGTATTGTACCATACTCTTAAAAAATACAAAGTTTTCACAGATAAATGTCCATGTTTGCTTGGTGTTTGAGAATCAGATGACACTGCCTGTGTATACTAACAGTGAACTCGGCCACCCCCTCTCCTATAAGGAACCTTACTGAAATCTAATGGCACTGCCGGTGTATACTAACAATGAACTCGGCCACCCCCTCTCATATAAGTAAACTTACTGAAATCTAATGGCACTGCCGGTGTATACTAACAATGAACTTGGCCACCCCCTCTCATATAAGTAACCTTACTGTAATCCAATGACACTACCTGTGTATACTAACAGTGAACTCGACCACATCCTCCTCATATACTGCCTGTGTATACTAACGGTGATCTCGGCCAGCCCCTCCACATATAAGTAACCTTACTGTAATCTAATGAGACTGCCTGTGTATACTAACAGTGAATTCGGCCACCCCCTCCTCATATAAGTACCCCTACTGTAATCCAATGACACTGCCGGTGTATACTAACAGTGAACTCGGCCACCCCCTCCCCATATAAGAAACCTTACTGTAATCCAATGACACTGCATGTGTATACTAACGGTGATCTCGGCCACCCCCTCCACATATAAGTAAACTTACTGTAATCTAATGACACTGCCAGTGTATACTAACAGTGAACTCGGCCACCCCCTCCTCGTATAAGTAACATTACTGTAATCTAATGGCACTGCCGGTGTATACTAACAATGAACTTGGCCACCCCCTCTCATATAAGTAACCTTCCTGTAATCTAATGACGCTGCCTGTGTATACTAACAGTGAACTCTGCCACCCCCTCCACATAGAAGTAACATTACTGTAATCTAATGACACTGCCTGAGTATACTAACAGTGAACTCGGCCACCCCCTCCTCGTATAAGTAACATTACTGTAATCTAATGGCACTGCCGGTGTATACTAACAGTGAACTCGGCCACCCCCTCCTCGTATAAGTAACATTACTGTAATCTAATGACACTGCCTGTGTATACTAAGAGTGAACTCGGCCACCCCGTCCTCATATAAGTAACATTACTGTAATCTAATGGCACTGCCGGTGTATACTAACAATGAACTTGGCCACCCCCTCTCATATAAGTAACCTTCCTGTAATCTAATGACGCTGCCTGTGTATACTAACAGTGAACTTCGCCACCCCCTCCCCATATAAGTAACCTTACTGAAATCTAATGGCCCTGCCGGTGTATACTAACAGTGAACTCGGCCACCCCCTCCACATATAAGTAACATTACTGTAATCTAATGGCACTGCCGGTGTATACTAACAATGAACTCGGCCACCCCCTCTTCATATAAGTAACATTACTGTAATCTAATGACACTCCCTGTGTATACTAACAGTGACCTCGGCCACCCCCTCCCCATATAAGTAACCTTACTGTAGTCTAATGACACTGCCTGTGTATACTAAGAGTGAACTCGGCCACCCCCCCCTCATATAAGCCACATTACTGTAATCTAATGACACTGCCTGAGTATACTAACAGTGAACTCGGCCACATCCTCCTTATATAAGTAACCTTACTGTAATCTAATGAGACTGCCTGTGTATACTAACAGTGAACTCTGCCACCCCCTCCACATAGAAGTAACATTACTGTAATCTAATGACACTGCCTGAGTATACTAACAGTGAACTCGGCCACCCCCTCCCCATATAAGTAACCTTACTGTAATCCAATGACACTGCATGTGTATACTAACGGTGATCTCGGCCACCCCCTCCACATATAAGTAACCTTAATGTAATCTAATGACACTGCCTGTGTATCTAATGACACTGCCTGTGTATACGAACAGTGAACTCGGCCACCCCCTCTCGTATAAGTAACCTTACTGAAATCTAATGACACTGCCTGTGTATACGAACAGTGAACTCGGCCACCCCCTCTCGTATAAGTAACCTTACTGAAATCTAATGGCACTGCCGGTGTATACTAACAATGAACTTGGCCACCCCCTCTCATATAAGTAACCTTCCTGTAATCTAATGACGCTGCCTGTGTATACTAACAGTGAACTCTGCCACCCCCTCCACATATAAGTAACATTACTGGAATCTAATGACACTGCCTGTGTATACTAAGAGTGAACTCGGCCACCCCGTCCTCATATAAGTAACATTACTGTAATCAACTGACACTGCCTGTGTATACTAACAGTGAACTTCGCCACCCCCTCCCCATATAAGTAACCTTACTGTAGTCTAATGACACTGCCTGTGTATACTAAGAGTGAACTCGGCCACCCCCCCCTCATATAAGCCACATTACTGTAATCTAATGACACTGCCTGAGTATACTAACAGTGAACTCGGCCACCCCCTCCACATATAAGTAAACTTACTGTAATCTAATGACACTGCCAGTGTATACTAACAGTGAACTCGGCCACCCCCTCCTCGTATAAGTAACATTACTGTAATCTAATGACACTGCCTGTGTATCTAATGACACTGCCTGTGTATACTAAGAGTGAACTCGGCCACCCCCCCCTCATATAAGCCACATTACTGTAATCTAATGACACTGCCTGTGTATCTAATGACACTGCCTGTGTATACGAACAGTGAACTCGGCCACCCCCTCTCATATAAGTAACCTTCCTGTAATCTAATGACGCTGCCTGTGTATACTAACAGTGAACTTCGCCACCCCCTCCCCATATAAGTAACTTTACTGTAATCCAATGACACTGCCTGTGTATACTAACGGTGATCTCGGCCACCCCCTCCACATATAAGTAACCTTACTGTAATCTAATGACACTGCCAGTGTATACTAACAATGAACTCGGCCACCCCCTCCTCATATAAGTAACCTTACTGAAATCTAATGGCACTGCCGGTGTATACTAACAATGAACTCGGCCACCCCCTCTTCATATAAGTAACATTACTGTAATCTAATGACACTGCCTGTGTATACTAACAGTGAACTCGGTCACCCCCTCCTCATATAAGTAACATACTGTAATCTAATGGCACTGCCTGTGTATACAACAATGAACTCCGCCACACCCTCCTCATATAAGTAACCTTACTGAAATCTAATGGCACTGCCAGTGTATACTAACAATGAACTCGGCCACCCCCTCTCATATAAGTAA